TTTTACCCATGAGTATTACAACAATTGCATTTGTATTCTTTTTTTTTTAAATCCTCACTCGAGGATATTTTTGCATTGATTTTCAGATAGAGTGGGAAGGAGAGGGAGGAGAGAGAGAGAGAAACGTTGATGTGAGAGAGACACATTGATTGGTTGGTTGCCTCCCGCATGACCCCAACCGGGGCTGGGGATCAAACTGAAACTGAGGTACATGTTCTTGACCAGAATTGAACCCATGACTCTTTGGTCTGCAGGCTGATGCTCTAACCAATGAGCCAAACTGACCAGGGCTGTATTTTTTTTCTTTTTGTTGTTGTTAATCCTCCCTAGAGGATATTTTTCCATTGATTTTAGATAGAGTGGAAGGGAAGGAGGGAGAGAGAGAAACATCAATGTGAGAGAGACACATGGATTGGTTGCCTCATGCATATGCCCTGACTGGGGCTGGGGACTGAACCTGCAACACACATAAATGCCCTTGACTGGGAATTGAACTCTCGACCCTTGGTGTGTGGGCCAACTCTAACCACTAGCCACACTGGCCAGGGCACATTTATGTTCTTTCTGTCAGACTCAGAGGGGTGGAATGATCTGGTTAGTAACAGAAATTATATTCAAACCTGAGATTCCTGGTTTGGGGCTACATTCTTTCTACTCTTGTTCTATTTAACATTATTTTATTTAAATAACAATAACCATTTTTGCTCAATATCATGACATAGTCCATAGACTTGGTTCTCAGTAAATTATGATATACCATAATGTGGCTTATTTTCCTGATTGCTGATCTCTCCATAACTTAGGAAGTTTATCCACTTACGAGAGGCTACAGTAGTCCCCTCTTTAAAAAAAAAATTTTTTTTTCTTTATTGAATTTAGAGAGAGAGGAAGGGAGAGAGAGATAGAAACATCAATGAGAGAGGACATCAATTGGCCGCCTCCTGCATGCCCCCCACTGGGGATCAGGCCCACAACCTGGGCATGTGCCCTGACCGGGAATCCAACTGGCGACCTCTTGGTGCATGGGCTGACGCTCAACCCCTCAGCCATGCCGGCTGGGCAGTAGTCCCCTCTTATCTGTGGGCATTTCCCAGTGGATGCATGAAACCATGGATAGCACTGAACCCTATATAGACTATATTTTCTCATATATATACATATTTTTTCACTTAAAGGAGGCACTTTTAAAAAGTAAATGTTTTTATTAATTTTTTAGAGAGAGAGGAAAGAAGAGATAGAAACATGGATGTGAGAAAGACATTGATCGGCTGCCTCCCGTATGCCCTGTACTGGGGATTGAGCCCACAACCTGGGCACGTGCCCTGACTGGGAATCGAACCAGGACCTCTCAGTCCATGGGACGACACTCAATCCACTGAGCCACACCGGCCAGGCTAAAGGAGGGATTTTTAAATTTTTATTTATTATTATTTTAAATCCTCACCTAAAGATATGTTTCTGTTGATTTGAGAGAGAGAAAAAAATTGATCAGTTGCCTCTCTTATGTGCCCCAACCGGGGACTGAACCCAAAACCTGGGTATATGCCTTGACTGGAAATGAAACCCAAGACCCATTGGTGCAGGGGACAATACTCCATCCGAGCCACATCTGCCAGGGCAAGGAGGCACCTTATGGCTTCTCTTTGCCATATCTGAATTGCCAACATCACTATTCCTGAACTTTGGGGACATTATTAAGTAAAATAAGGGCTACTTGAACACAAGAACTGCGATACAGCAACAGACTTTCTGGTAACCCAGCCAGCCACTAAGTGACTAACAGGTGGGGAGCTTATACAACATGGACATGCTGGACAAAGAGATGATTCATATCCCAGGCAGCTTGAAGAGGGACTCTCAAAATTTATCATGCTACTCAAGGTGGTGTGCAATTTAAATATGAATTGTTTATTTCTGGGATTTTCCATTGAATATTTTTGGGCCTTGGTTAACCATGGGTAACTGAAACCTCAGCAAGTGGAAGTGTGGATAAAGGGAGCCTATTGTACAACTGACACTTGAATAATGGGGGGGTTAGGGGTGCTGGCCCCATGGGGAGTTGAAAATCTGAGTATAATTTTTGGTTCACTCAAAACTTAAGTTGTCCATTCGTATCCATGGGGAATTGGTTCCAGGGCCTTCTACAGAAACCAAAATCTGAGAATATTCCAAGTCACCAATATAAAAATTGTATAGATCAATGCATACAGTTGGCCCTCTGTATCCATAGACTCCTAACAGTACAGGTATTTATTGAAAAAAATCCAGGTAGCCTGGTGGGTGTGGCTCAGTGGTTGAGTGTTGACCCATGCACCAAGAGGTCACTGGTTCAATTCCCAGTCAGCAGGCTAGATCCCCGGTAGGGGGTGTGCAGGAGGCAGCCGATTGATGTCAATGCTTCTCTCTCTCTCAATGATTCTATCTCTCTCCCTATCCCTCCATCTCTCTCTACAAAATTAATAAAAAACATTAAAAAAAAAAAAAAAAGGAATCCATGTATAAGTGGACCCACAGAGTTCAAACTCTGAGCTTTGTGTTGGTCAAGGGTTAACTATATTTGAGTTAATGAAAACCCTGTGATCATCTAAGTTGTTAGAAGAATCTGCTTCATGAAGTAGGCAAATCCTTCACATTGTATATTCAAAAATTTCAGATATTGATTTCAGTAATATATAATCTAAGATTAGAGCCCTGAATAAGGGCCCACACTCTATTTTATGCTCCATCCTGACTCATGGTAAGATCTTGGGCGAGTCACTTGACCTTCTTATATTTCAATGTGGCAAACTAGCCATAAAACTGAGTACAGTATGACCTCATTACAAACCCAATAGACTTGAAAGCTAAGATGTGATTTGATACATTAAAAACATTACCAGAAGATAACTTTAGATGATAAATATGAAGAATCAGAATAATGACTTTTACTCTAATAAGTAAAATGATTCTGTATTTAGCAAATAAAGTCATGGAAATTATTTTATTTGGGTGAAATAGGTTAAATGACAGAGGGAGAAATATTATTTTAGAGAATTCCTGGTTTTCAAAACTATAGATTATAGCAATTTAACCAAAATAATAAGGAATGAAAGAATATTAGAAGCTAATGAATCCTTAATAACTAAACACATTTCATTTCTAGGCCATTATTTCCTCCTACTTATATAATATATTTATTCCCTGTTTTAAGTATTTAGTTACCTACTATGTGAGGAACCTTACAAACGAATACAAATTCCTTTAGAAATGAAGCAGTTTTAATGATGTGTTTGTCCATTTATACTGTAACTCACTGGATTATTGAATATCTTTTAAATTGACTTTGTATTAGTCCCCTTCCCTCTGTCTTCCTATTCCCACCTTTCCCATTAATATACATACTTTATTCCCATTCAGGTTTCCTTCCATGAGCACAGAATGGTGATGATGATGATGATGATGATGATTTGTGAAGTGAATAATGTCTTTCTAACCTACAGAGGGAAGATTCACTGGCTTGCTGCTGCAGCCTCTTTCTTTTTTTCTTTTCTCTTCTCTTCCCTTTCTTCCTTCTTTTTCGCAGCCTCTCTTTCTATTGAACAGCAGGTTCACCTTTTCTGCAGCCTTCTAGAAGGAACATAAAAGTAAGAACAGCTCCACAGACAACTGTTTAAGGTTACCCTAGAAAGTCCTGTGGCATCTGCAATGTGCCTGAACATTTTCCATTCTTTTAAAACATCTTTCTGCAGATTTTGTCAAAGCCATAAACAAATATAACCAAGCAAAGCTCTTTTGAGCAGAGCTTGTCAATCATACACTTTGCCACATTCTCTGAAAGAGTAAGCAAATGATAACTTGCAACTGTTTGTTGCCCAGGCCCTGTAAACAAAAGATCAAATTGTGTTCTGCCTTGGCAAGAAAAGAAACTGCAGCGTTTTCGTTTGGTCAGATTTTTTTTTTCTTCTTTTTACAAGTTTTGGGCCTCACATCAATAGCTGGAACTGTCCTTTTTTCTAGTTTATAGAAAAATTGAAAACGGTAAATGCAAAGATTAAAATGCTATTTAAAAATGAATATAATCAAGATTGTAGGTTACAATACAGTGTAGCTCCATAGTAGTCAATTAGCTGTGTTTTTCAACTGTAATCTTAAGGATTCTATGTGTTTTTTTTCTTTGTTTCTCTGGACTTACGGATAAAAATCTTATCCCTTTCAGGATCAGGAAAATTAAGAAAAATAAGCAAAGCATGGGTTTTAAGGTCTATAGAAGATGTACAGGTACATTAATTTTAGTAAGACTGCAGTCAGAATGAATAATAGTATTTTCCATAGAAAAAAGAGAACAAAACAGTAGGGGAGAGATATTATCTAAGCATACAAAAAGTGTCAGTGGAAGCGTAAAAACATTAAAATAAGAGTGGCTAAGCATATGAACATTGTTGATAGATTTAGCAACTGAGCACATATACTTTGTCTCAGATATTGCTTCAAATTTTGAGAAAATCGTCCAACCAATTTCTTGCATGAGGAAAACTGCTTTGCCCCTTCCAGACCCCTCTCCCGGGCAGCTGAAGGTGTGCGGTCAATTCCTCGGTCCTGTCCCCAGCTCCCCGTGGTCGCCCCTGCCCAAGGACCCGGTGCCCCAGCGGAGCGGTGGATGTAAGCGGGAAGGGAGGGTCTCACAGGTGGGGTGGGGCTGGGGTGGGGGGCGGGCGGCTTCTGAAGCCCAGGGCCGCCTCAGATCCGGAGCATGTAGGCGCCCCGTGCTCGCCCCGGCCCCGGATTGGGTCTGCCGGGCAACTCCGCACCTCTCACCGGGCCCGGGCCGGCGGTGGGGGGGCGCGCAGAGGGCGGCGGGGGGCCGGCGCGCCGGGGGGCGGGGCCAAGCGGGCAAGGCCCGGCCTTCGAAGCGCCGCTCTGAGACGGCCGCTCAGAGCGAGACGGCTGCGGCCGCGGCGGAGGGATACCGAGCGCCGTATATATTCCACAGAGCGCAGGACCGCACTTCGGCATTTGTGCTGGGAGCCTCGCGGCGCGGCGCCGTTACTCGCGGTCGGGCGGCGGCGCAGGCGGCAGCGGCACAGCGCTCAGTGCACACCGCGCCTTAGCAGCAGCAGCTTCAGCAGCGGAGGCACCCCCACCCTCGCAGCCCCTGCGCTGGTGCAGCCGCCCTCCACCCTCTGCTCTTCCTCCCTTCGTTCGCACCATGGTAGGTCGGGAATGGCAAGTGCCGGCGTAGCAGCTACCTGCCCATGATTTCTAAACAAATTTTTAGTTCAGTCTGGGTTTTTTCTATTTTTCCTTTTTGTGTGTGTGTGTGTAATTTCCTCTTTTCCTGGCGTTACGCAGCAGTTGCGGTTAAAAAGAATATATTTCGGATTTGCATCTCGGATTCCTCGGCCAGGGATCCTTATTTAAATTTTGGTCCTCCAGGGGCTCTGGCTGCAGCTGTACTGGGGCTTCCGCATCCACCCCCTCCCCCAGCCCGCACCACTGCATCCAGCGCGCCGCACCCGGGCTGCCCGCAGTGCCGCGGCCCGGGGTCGGGGGAGCCGGGCGGTGCCGGGCGCTAGTCCCCCCACCCCGCCGCTTCTCCCCAGCTCGGAGGCGGCAGATCCAGAGGGCCGGGGAGAATGAATGGGCCGGGGCGAGCGGGTGGCGCACATTGCTCCGGTCCGGGCGTGGGGGGCACCGTCAGTGTTGCCCCCCCCCACCCCAGCCAACCCTGCTGGGCACAGTCTCTTGGCCGCTGACCCCTCCTACCTCCCGGGGGGCGCGGCGCGGGCGTGGGCTGGGAAGGAAGGAGCCGGGGATGGGTGGGGTGGGGGCAGGAAACCGAGCGGTGGGGGTCGGAGGGCGGAAGCGGCGGGCAGACCGCGCTGCGCCCGGGCGGTGCCCTGCGGTGTGGCCGGGACTTGTGTCTCCCTGTTTCGCAGCCCCCCACCCCACCCTCGGGCGGCGGTAAAGGTGTGCGGGAGCCTCGGTACACCGGGAGGCCCCTTCCCGCGGGAGGCACTGGGCTGGCGCTAATTGGGGCGGGAGGGGGCGGGGGAGGAGGGAGCTGGCGCGCGGCTCGGTTTCCATTAGAGACACAAAGTTTCTGCTCTGGGAGGAGGCGGCGCGGCGGGCTCGCCGCCTGGGGGAGCTGAAGCGGGTGGGAGGTGTGGGGCGGGCTTTGCGCTCGCCCACTGTGCGGTCCCGGGTTGGGAGTGGGAGGTCGCCCTGGCTGTTGAGGGGTGGCTCTCCCACCCCCGCGCTGGGGCCATCTCGCCCCTCGTCTGCCCTTGGGGCAGGCACCCCTGCCCGGCCCCTTGACCGGCGTTTCCTCACTCCGCGCCACTTCCCAGTCGGCCGGGAGATGCTCTCCACGTTTCCGCTTTCTCTGCAGCTTCTAGATTGTCAGATGCGCCTGTGCGCCTCGCTGGGTGTGTTCTCCACAGCCCCCTTCCTCCCTCAGCAGGCTGACATCACCCACAGCGTTTTCTGGCGTGGCTGGGTTGGGAGATGGCCGGCCACCTTGCAGGTTCAGAGCACCCTTGCCCCCAAGGCCAGCGCCATTGGGCGATATTTCTTTGTCGAGGAAGGCTGGTGCTCTCTAACCCCTCTAACAAGATAGTTTTGCCTCGTGGTGGGCTGTTCTCCTTGGTAAGGGTGACAGCTTCTGTTTCGAGGTGTGGCAGTGCTTCCTGTTGTACAAGACAGGCGTTGCTCTGGCGTTACATAAATCATCATGTCTCATTTGATATAAAGAAAACCTATTTGACAGTTGCTGGGGTAGAAAGAAAGGAAGAACCAGTTCTAATAGGAACAAAAAAAGTTTTCAGTATATTGGAATACCATTCCTGTTTGTGAAAGTTTTTATTTAAGAGAATACACTTAACACTGTCAGCTTTCTGTTAGGACTTACTTTGTGACTGGCTTCATTAGGTGCCTTTCATTAAAATAAAAATACATACTGCTCTCCTTGAGATCTCGAATTCCCCCGAGTGGAGACACGGGTTCAGTGTTGCAATGAGAATTACCTCTGTGCCCATTACCACCTCCAGTAAAGTGTTTATTATGAGCAGCTCTTATGTCATCTTTTAAGGTAGGTAAATATCCTCCAGCAAAGTTCCTCCTCTCCAGAAAAGAGAGGGTATAGTCTCATAATTGTGAAGTTTCCAGTGTACTTAGTATTGCAGTTTTTTAACAGCTCAGTTATAGGAGGTTCTATTTTTTTCCCCTGGCTTTTGAACCAGGATAATTTGACAGAGGGCATTAGCTATTGTAAATGGCAGACTTTTAACAAATAAGTGCTTAATTTAAATGATTGAAAGCATTTATTACATGGAAATAAAGTTAGTGGGGTAACCCATTGCAATTTATTTTTTTCTCTGAATTGTATCTCATAAAATGGATATAAAAGCCTGTTAATCCAACCCAATGCCATTATGTAACGCCAATTTGGAGATTTGGAGTGCCCGCAGCAATGCGCAAGGTGCTCTAAAAGCCTGCCCCTGGACGAGATCCTGGCTGCAGTGACAGCAACGGCAGGCTGAGTCCCTTCTTGGGTGGAAGTGGGGACTGCGGTGTCCCTGGTGCAGTAGGTGGCGCTCTCCTTGCTCAGAGCCTGCTGCTGCAGCCTATGCGGTGGGACCCTTTGCCACTAGAGGTGCCATTTTTCAAATTATGAACTGATCCTTCCTAGTTAGACCTCACCACACACAGCCCTAGACCCAGAAAAGACAACTTTTTTGTCAACCTTTATTTTTAAAATAGCATAAAGAGTTTTCTTTATTTTAATTGTTTTCATTAAATGGCAGTGCTAAAGTTTTCAAATAGTTGATGTATTTTAATATCGACGAAAGGTCACTATTAAAAGTGTGATTGGAGCAACAGTGTTGATCTCAGTGTTATTGGTTGAATTATATAACCTTTTCTTTCTCCATGTAGGCTGATCAACTGACTGAGGAACAGATTGCTGGTAAGTTGATGACTTCAAGATGTCCCCTGTAGGCCAGAACTAGGCACCAGTCAGCTTTGGTGACTCCTCTGTTCCTTCTCTCCTATAATCTCAACAGTTTTCTAAGAAGCTATATAAGTGAAAACAAGCAGAAGTATTTAGGTCAGATGTTATTACTCCTTGCCAGTATTTTGGAGATAATGTGAAAGGAATTAACTAAGAATATCTATTTGTTACACTCTGAAGTAGCCGACTGTATTTCACAGTGTGTGAGGTTTTGCATATAATGAAATTGTACTGAGTTTGCTACTCAGAAATGTAGTTCAGAATTTTTATGCCACAGGTCTTTTAGTAATTCACCATGAATCCTGTGCTTACTGTTCTAAAATTTATGGGAATGGATGAAAATGATTGTTAGGACCATTATAACAATTGGGAAGGGAGTTGTGGTAGTTTAGATTTTTATATTCCCTGGAGGACTTTTGGGGGATGGTTTCTCCTTAGGAAACCAGGAATGCCTTTGGAATATTCTGAATGCCATGTAGAGAGAACACACTGATTACCTGGGAATATACATTTTTGTAACTGGGATGTTGCTATGAAACAAGGGGTTCTTATAGCTATAGGAATGTAACAGGAAGGGACCTTAAGGGAACACTTGGACCAATCTTCACTTGTCATATTGGATTTAAGACTAATTTAAATGTGTTCAAGCTTAGCATTCTTTAAAAATGTGAGACTTCTGTGGTTTTATGGAGCTGGTTAACAGGAGCAATGTTTGCTGTATGAACTGCTGTATTAAGGCCAATCCAACAGGACTGTTGTCTTTATTCCAGTAGAATAAGACCAGGTAGTTTCTGATAACTTGCACACCTTGGACAGCTTGCTTTGGCAGGCCTCAGGGAAGTGTATACTGTGGCTGGGTTGGGTAAAGACATTCATTCTAAAAGGTAAACTTTTGTTTTCAGAATTCAAGGAAGCTTTCTCCCTATTTGACAAAGATGGGGATGGCACCATCACAACAAAGGAACTTGGCACTGTCATGAGGTCACTGGGTCAGAACCCAACAGAAGCCGAATTGCAGGATATGATCAATGAAGTGGATGCTGACGGTAAGGGCTTTAGAACTGTGAATGAGCACCAGTGTTGTGTACTTCGAGTTCAGACATGTTACAAGATTGTCTTTCAGGTCCCCTGAGCAAAACAAATGTGCAAAGAGCCTTTCGGTGATTGCCTTACGGCCAGTGACAATTAAAATAGAGGATTATGGGCCTGCCTTTTGCCCTGCTCACCAGCTAGAACATTTCCTGGATTGGATCACTGTATTGTTCTTTTCTACCTGCCGTGACCTACAGCTCAGTCTTTCAACTGGCCCATGAGTCTGCACTGAGTTCTGTGGGGAAGTAAAAAATAAATAGCCTTAGACCTTTTTAAAAAGCTTGTCTCTAAGAGGAGGAGAAAAACCCTGAAGTGAAGTGGGTAAAGAGCATTCTTAGATGTTAACATAGAATTGGATACAGTGTGAGCTGTAGATATGTTATAGATATATCTTCTATAGATAGATATAGAAGAGAATTTTGAAGCTCTTGTGAGGCTTGGAGGTGGGGTGCATGATGGCTGTAGGGAATAGACCTACAGAACCTAACAGGAGAAGATGTATAAGGCATGGAGCAGGAAGGAGCAAGCAGTAACCCTTGTAGCAGTTGGTCTGCAATCGGGCATCATCTTCTGGACTCTAGAACAGGGACAATAGACTTTTTATTCACTTCCATCAGTAAACAGTGTTTGAGATCCTCCCCCAAAACAAAACAAAAAATATATTTTTTGAAACCATATATATGTACTAGTAAATGTACTGCATAACACTCTAGATCATAGCACCTTTTTAAAAGGTGATCTAAGGCCCTGGCTGGTTTGGTTCAGCGGTTAGAGTGTCAGCTCTTGGACCAAAGGGTTTCCAATTTGATTCTGGTCAAGGGCATGTATCTGGGTTGCAGGTTCAATCCTTGGCATGGGTTGGGGTCTTGTGGGAGGCAGCCAATCGATTCTCTCTCTCACGTCGATGTTTCTCTTTCTTCCTCCCTACCTTCCTCCCTTTCTCTCTCCCTCCTTCCTTCCCTTCCACTGTATCTAAAAATTAATGGATCAATGGAAAACTATCCTTGGGCTTGACCAGTGTGGCCCAGGGGATTGAGCACTGTCCCATGGACTGAGAGGTCCTGGTTTCGTTCCTGGTCAGGACACATGCCTAGGTTGTGGGCTTGATCTCCAGTAGGGGGCATGCAGGAGGCAGCCGATTGATGTTTCTTTCTCACATCGATGTTTTTCTCTCTCTCCCTTCCCCTCTCTCTAAAAAAGTCAATAAAAACATTTAAAAAAAACATCCTCGGGTGAGGATTAACAGAAAAAAAGGTATCCAAGAACAAACAATTTGGATCTAGACTAATTTCTAAATGATTGATTTGATAGCAGTCATTAAAAAAATAGGGTTTCAAAAGGTGATAAAGTTGAGTTACACTTGTCTGGTCACATACATTTAGAAGCGGGGGTTTTGGTTAAACCTTTAACACTGGTTTTAGCCCATTAAAACCACTTCTACAGACTTTTCATCCTTAATATTGTTTTGGAAAAAGGGGTTATAAGTAGTACTCTACTTTGCTAAGGTGATCAGCTATCTGGGAACATGAGTTGTCTCTCTCCTGTTTTGTATAAATGCTGGGAAACGGCTTGGGGACTGGCAGAGTGTATTAGGCTCCCCAAGATTGTATGGAACATGGGGGAGGGGGTAAGGTCTTGGTGACAGAATTTAGTATTCACAGTGAATAAATACGATGATGCCTAAGGACATACATCTTTGCTTGGCTATGAGCGCTCTAAATAATTGCATGAATATCAATAATGTTTTGGAATTTTGGAGGCCAAAAGAACTTTAAGGGATCTCTGAATTACTGTTTTCATTTAAAGGTACTGGTGAAAATGAGTAACTTGACCTAAGGCTTTTTTCTTCTAATTTAACTTTATTTCCATTTAATTCAAGTTACATTGTTAATCGGGTGGTTTGTCTTTGGCATGTTCCTCTAACTCTTAGTTTTAGAGGAGTTGTTTGGAATACTGGCAATAGAACAGATTCATTTTGACACAGTTTTCTAATGTTAATGGTTTAAGCTGTGAAAACACTTCTGAGTTTTGCTCTTAATGGGAAATAAAGATACTGAGTGGGGAGAAAAGGATTAGGTGACTTCCCATGATGTGGCTGAGAAATGCCCCCTGGAGAAGACTTTCTAACACTTTATGGTCCATGGTGAAATAAAGTCAGTTTTTCCCCCTCATGATCCTTTTCATCTCGGGGGGCCCAAATCTAGGCCTTGACTGGCATCACTAGCCAAGACAAAATTGGATCCTATTGATCGCCTTAATTCGGGAGGGGTTGAGGGGAGGTGGAGACAATCTGGAATGCTTCCCTTGGGAGTGGAAAGAGTCAGCCTGTAGGGCTGTGTGCTTTTTCTCCTGGACTGTACAACCCCCTTCAGTGGTCAAGGATCTGTATATGCACTTTTCCTTTGCATCCTTACATGCTATCCAGGGCACTGATTATTAGTTTGAATTATGTGAATCGTGAAATTGCCCTGTGAAGTATTTCAGCAATTCAATTTAGACCTTTAAATGGTTCAACCTAGTAAAATAATTTACCAGTTTGTCCTGGCAAGTGCTTCCCATTCTGTAAAGTGGTTCTGAGATTGTGACTGCAGAGGAGCATTGCTGGAGCACTTATTTTACATGAGCTTTTTGTTGTTTAATTTGAGGCAATGGCACCATTGACTTCCCAGAGTTTTTGACTATGATGGCTAGAAAAATGAAAGATACAGACAGTGAAGAAGAAATCCGCGAGGCATTCCGAGTCTTTGACAAGGTAATCCTGCGTCTGCGTTGCAGACGGTACTTAAGTGCTGCTGTGTTGCTATCGTTTCTAAACGCTTCAACAATCTGTCCTAGTTAGAACACTTACCTAACTGCCCGAGCCTCTGAAATCTCACTTGCAAATATCCTGACTTACTGCCATAACCTTATCAAGTAAGGGTAAGCATAATCGCTGAGAACATTTAAACCAAGTCTCTGTGTTGCTTTGCTTTCAATTTCTCTTAGCTTTTGAAAAGCCCCCGTGTATCCTGCCTTCGCCGACTGGGTGTATGTAGTGGGTAGAGGTGGGAACTGGACGTCAGAGAACTGCCGATGAGAGCAGAGTTGGCAGTAACTGGAGAGGGCGTAATGAAGGCAAAAACCTACTTGCCCACACTGCACCACTCTCAGCCCGTTAGTAACGACTGCTGAATGTTCACAGGATGGCAATGGTTACATCAGTGCGGCAGAACTACGTCATGTCATGACAAACTTAGGAGAAAAACTAACAGATGAAGAAGTAGATGAAATGATCAGAGAAGCAGATATTGATGGAGATGGACAAGTCAACTATGAAGGTAAAATACTACATTTCTTCAGCTTAGTTTTTAATAATCTTCCCTTCAGAATCTAAACAAGTTAACTGCTTCACTGGACACTCCCTGTGTTTTTTTTAAATGTAGAGTAGAGATGTGTTCATAAAGCTGCTTTGGAAGATAACTGAACGTTACGATTGTTTGTCTTTTCAGAATTCGTACAGATGATGACTGCAAAATGAAGACCTACTTTCAACTTTTCCCCCCCTCTAGAAGAATCAAATTGAATCTTTTACTTACCTCTTGCAAAAAAAAATCATTTACTCATTCTGTTTCTATATAGCAAAACTGAATGTCAAAAGTACCTTCTGTCCACACACACAAATCTGCATGTATTGGTTGGTGGTCCTGTCCCCTAAAGATCAAGCTACACATCAGTTTTACGATATAAATCCTTTACTACCTGAATGATAAGGAAGCACTAGTGGACTCCTCGCAGTTCCATTTGCTAATGATTAATACACTGTTTGGGCTGGCCGGTTTTTCATGCATGCAGCTTGACAATTGAGCACAGTCAGGCATTTGTATTAAAAACAAAAAATGAAAAAAATTCAAAACCTATTTAAATGGGTTCTAGTTCAGTTTGTTAGTATAAATGGTCATAGCTGGTTTGCTGAAAGCAAACACATTTAAAATTGGTTTGCCTCAGGATGTGTGTAGAAAAATGGGTGAAGGATAAACTGTCTAGACGTAGCCCACTAGCAGGATGGTCCCTCTTGTACTTCCATGTGCCCGACCTGTGGTGACGGTGACACACCCTGGTGGCGTGCCCACGTGTGTTGGTTTAGTGTTGCCTGCATCGTACTAGAGCGAGATGGGTGTCAGGCTGTCACCATTCACACAAATTTTTAAAAAGAAACTTTTACCAAGGGAGCATCTTTGGACTCTCTGTTTTTAAAACCTTCTGAACCATGACTTGGAGCCAGCAGAGGTAGGCTGTGGCTGTGGACTTCAGCACAACCATCAACATTGCTGTTCAAGAAATTACAATTTACGTCCATTCCAAGTTGTAAATGCTAGTCTTTTTATTTTTTTTCCAATAAAAAGACCATTAACTTAAAGTGGTGTTAAATGCTTTGTAAAGCTGAGATCTAAACGGGGACAAGGCACTTGGAGGGGAGGCCAGTGCACCTTTAACTGCCCCCAGCCCAGCATTGGGTTTCCCTCCCTCCCTCCCAGCATCCCAGCACCAACCTCCGAGCTGAGACCTTGCCTAAAACCAAGCAAATACTGACTGCTTCATCATGTTTATGGACATGTAGGTCTATTGTATTTTCACTGGGGGGGGTGGGGGACAGTGAATCATGGTAACTTAATGATTATTCAGGCAGTAGAGTTCTTAATGAAGGAAAAAAAAAACACTTTCTCTCAAGCATGTATTTAGGGGTTCGTCTCAATTGTGCTGCTGATTACCTGTTTTATGTAACTATTTGAGACCATCTGTGCAAGAGACATGATTTAGTGTGTCTGTAATCCAATCCTCGCTGTGTGGTAGAAGCAGTAGTCACTTTTCTAAGCCAGTCTCTTCATGCCTAAAAGACACTACCAGTCACCTTTTGATTCACGAGTTTTAAGTTATGATTATACCTACCGTAGCCTCCTTTTACTTTTTAAAAAAGTTGACTTTGCTTTCCCCCACCAAGTAGAACTAATGGAAGCCCTCAGCTTGAAAGTAAAACACCACCCCAGAGGGAATTTTGTGTCTAATTACAAACCTGTAACCAAAATGAAGATGCTGGTCTGGTCTTTGCAGTGGGATTGGTCTGCTTCAAAAACCCCTCTAAAGGCATGTTGCATTTTGCAGAACTCTTTGAAATGAAGGCTGGATGTGCATTTTTCAGAGTGTTAAGTGGTTGTATCTTATTAGCAAGGAGGTTTGGGTTTTGAGTGCGTGTGGGAGGTTTTAATTTGCCAGGGAACAGTGGCAGGCTGCTAGCGAGGCAGTGAGAAGCTCTTGGCAGCCAAATGGGTGCATTCAGGGCTGATTTATAGAGACCCTTGGCTTCTCCCTCTCCTACTCCCTGTCTTTCTGGCATTTTGCAGCTTGTTAGATTTCCTGCCAGAGGGGTGGGTCAGAGCAGTGGAGAGGAGCCCGCCCATCTGCCTCTGCGGCTGGTCCTTAGACTCCGATTGGTAGAAGAGGTGGATATCATGACTGGGTTTGGCTTGCATAATTTCCTGACTCTGGAAGGAACACCTAAGAGTACCTTGGGGGTTCTGGTGAGAGGAGGACTGAGGGCTCCTGGTTTGAATAAGTTATTGACCTGGATGTTTCTTGCAGGGAAGTCCCATAGCCTGACTGTGGACCCAGTCTCAGGCCTGTGGCAGATGATGACCTCTTGGTAGTTTTTAAAGAGCGTTGGGGGTCACGACTTGTTGAAAACCTTGCCTTCTACCCTACCTTTTTAACCAAGTCTTTTTGTAGAAGCGGTGTGGACTCCCAGTCTCCTAAAAGACTGCCTCTGAAACCAGATTCTGACATGGCCCGGATCCCGTGTGGGAACCAGAAGCTTTTCCCCAGGGAATGCTGAGTTGCAGTTTGGCGGAGGTGCAGCCGAGTCCACTCTTTCTTCTGGCATTTGAGGGGATGACCAGCCCAGGGGTTAGGTGTCTGCAGTCTGCGTGAGTTTGAGAGGAAATAGCTGGATGTTGTGTCATTGCTTGTTAAGTTGGTTAGCACCTTCCTGTAAACTCCTGCCCCGACTTCTAACTGCTCTATAAATATACATATATATATATTTATATATATATAAAGTGACTAGTTTAACTGGCATCCCGCTTGAGCCTGAGACTTGCCATAAAAAACTGCTGAGTACTTGGCAAACACTTTCATAGTTTTGTTCTCCATCTGTTTGGGGAAGGTGTTGAGCAAGGCAAATGTATCTTGATATTTCAGATGGGCTTTCAATGCACTGTTGCCAAGGAAGGCTTTTTTTCTGATTTTTTGACAAATGAATTTTTGCACACTTTAATTGGTGTCTTTTGGCAACTTAAACACATTGAAAATTAGCTACTGTACATATTTTTATATTCTCTTTATAAATGCATGTCTGACTGTACTTGTAACCATATTGTAACGAGTGGCTGTCCAGTAGTCTAGCGCTGCTGTGGCCCGTCAGAGTAGCAGCATATATCGGCCCCTTAGCATACTGGGAACCTCCTCCTAAACAAAGAATGTAAATTTGGTCAATCTGCTCTTTGTTCATTCAGTTATTTTAAACATTTGAACTAATTATTGTATATCTTCAATAATCCTTTTATTGTATATCCTAAATTTATCCTTTCGGCAGTGACTAGATTCCACGAATGTGTCTTAATCTATCCCTTCAGCTAACAATACTATTTTCTTTTTTTATCCCTTGAAGTTGTCCTGTAGGAGACACTTTGCTGTCTGTTTCCCTTGGAGTGAGAAGGTAGTGGCGTGGGTGGAGCGTGTATTCTTTCTCCAGAGCTGTGATAATGTTCATTAAACACGTCTGTAGCAAAGATGGTGGTAGTTTCTTTGTTACTGAAGTGACCCTTCACCGTGGCGATTCGCAAAGGAGATGTACTTGAACGTTTCTGTAAATCTTGAGATAAACTGTTTGGAGATTTTACCACCTCTCTGATGGGGGACCAACTCTATGGAAATTGTAAATAAGTTTTATTTATAAACCTGGCACTGTATTCAATAAACATTTCTGCAGCCTTTCATCTCTAACTGCGAACTGTGTAGGTTTTTAGCCTGCGTAGCTTTCAATCCCTCTGCTCGGTGAACAAGATGTACCTGCCCACGGATGTAATTCCACCTAGGCTCTAGCTTGGTAGGTGAGGGGTCAGAAATACCATGGACACAGCCTACTGCAGCCTTACTCAAATTTTAAGTAGTTTGGGTGTTAACTGACATTTAACACAGTCTCTTGGCCCATTAATGTGCCCAGGCTTGCCTTATGCAGAAAATGTACGCCATAAAAAGATTGATTTCCCTTTAACCTCACTGTTAATCCAAGTCTCTAGGAACTGGAAAGAAACACACTTTAAGAATAAGATGGGGGTTTTAAATTACCGAAGCGCATACCTCAGCCACGTCAAGGGCCAGGAGAGCTGAGGAAAATGCAGTGGCTACAACTCCATTCGGAGCCTTGCACTTGAAACCTTCCCCTTCATCAGTGCTATCCCAGACCCTGGTTTCCAGACAAGTTTCTTGAGCAGAAAAGGCCACCTCTGGCTGCCACCTGTTTCCAGAAGGATCTTTTCTGGGCCACCTGGCCCGCGTCCTTCCCCACTCTTCACGGAAGCAGAGAGAGGGCTGAAAAGGCGGATGATCACAGGGTGAGCCCTGCTTTGGCCACAAAGCTTGAGACGCATCTCCAGAGAGCATTGAAATAGTCCGCCTCTGTCCTACCCAGGAGCTGGGATTATGGGGATGGGGACACCACTGTGGGGACAGGCCTGGCTCCTGTTTTTTGTTCTTTCCCTCTGTGACCATGGTCTCATAACCTCAGGGCCTCTTGGTAACAAGATTATTGGACTAGGTACCTTTTACCTGTCGCTTTCCAGGATTGGCATCACGTGGTGTTTAAATGGAAATCGCAGCCTAAGGGGTGGGAGGCAAAATAGTGTAGGAGTGCCGTTGCTTTGAGATGACAAATGGGTTTTTTTTTAAGAAGTCTCAGCAGCTCCATGTTGGGGGTGGAGTGGAGGGTATGCTTGCTATTGAGGCTGATGTAATATTGGAACATGGGTCAGAGAAACTGATCATTACGTGACTTCCACTCTCCTCACAGGATGGAAATAGGACGCTACCACTCGGCCTGTAAGAGATTCAGTTTAAGTGACAACATCATCTGGTTTTTCAGCAGCTTTGGCTCAGGAGAAAGACACACACACTCATTTCCAATTTGAGCTGAACTTCTCGGGAGCACCCAGTGGCTCAGGACGCCTTAGAAGGAAATAAAACAAAAGTTTTTTATAGCTTGGTGCATCTCTGCTCCCACTGCCCTCACCCCTCTGCCAGGGCGAGGGAGGAGTTTGCTCACGCCCCAGCACCCACGGGAAGCCCGTGGCGAGGAGCTGGCCAGCCTCCCCGTCTCGTGGCCGATAATCCCTGGGCTTGGGTTTAAAGACAAGGCGGCAGCTTTCCCCGCAGGACTCGGGTTCTGCCTGTGTGTCAGCAGCCTTTGGAGTGAGTGTGTATTTTCACATTCAGAGAGGATTTCAAATGTCACGTTTTCAAGTTTTATTTTCACTTTTACAAAAATGAAAGGGAAAACCCCAGTCTTCTCTAGTCAGCTCATTTCTTAAATAGTTTGATGCAACATAATCTTTTTAGTCCAGCTGTTTATAAGCATGCACAGTTTGCTTTGAAACAAATTTTTCTTATTAATACTCACTGGAGGATGTTTCCATTGTTTTTTTTGTTTTTTTTTTAGAGAGTGGAAGGAAGGGAGGGAGGGAGAAAAACATCCAAGTGAGAGAGACACATTGATTGGCTGCCTCCCGCATGACCCCGGCCAGGCAGGGGATCGAACCTGCAACCCAGGTGTGCCCTTCACCAGGAATAAACCTGAGACCCTTCGGTCCGAGGGCCAGCGCTCTAACTGCAAAGCCAACTTGGCCAGGGCTAAACTGATTTTCTTTTCCCTTTTGAGCCTTAAAAAACCCTTCAAGTTGTGATTTTTGTTTGTTTTGTTTTGTTACTGTAAAGGATAAACTTTTATTTATTTATTTATTTATTTATTTATTTATTTATTTATTTATTTATTTTTAATCCTCATCCGAGGACATTTTTCCATTTTTTGTACAGACAGAGTGGGAGGGAGAGAGAGGAAGACAGAGAGAGGGAAACATCGATGTGAAAGGGACACATCAAGTGGCTGCCACCCGCACGACCAACCCGGGCCGGGGACAAACTGCAACCGAGGCACATGCCCTTAGCGGGAACCGAACCCGGGTCTCTCCAGACCGCAGGCGGACGCTCTAACCGCTGAGCCAAACCGGCCAGGGCGAGGATAAATTTTTTACCCCCATACAGACTGGTACCAGAGTCAAGATTTGAGATAATGGGTTATTATTATTTTTT